AAAAAAAAAAAAAAAAAAAAAAAAAAAAAAAAAAAAAAAAAAAAAAAAAAAAAAAAAAAAAAAAAAACTCCTTCCCAAATAGCATGCAACTTATTTCTATAAGAGGAGCCAAGTCAAACTTCAAACTTTGACTTTTATATATATGAAAAGTAAATATATAAATGTATAATATATTTGGCTAAATTTACAATAAAATCCAAAATATATTTTTTTTCTTGAGAATTAAATAATAAAAAGAAAAAAAAATCCTTATATTTATATAATAAATTATGTACAAACTAGTGTGTGTGTGTATACCTTCCAAAACCAACATAAAATTAAGCAAATCATTGTAACCAATAAGGCTACGCTAAATTTATTAAAATTGTAAATACCATAATATAAATTAATAATTAAAAAAATGTAATTACAAAGGTATTATTGTCTCATCAAGAAAAGTTCAACGGCAGCGACTACCAGTGGGCTCCACCACGAATTCAACACCTTCGGAGCACCTCCCTTGGACATATCTCTCTCCTGTACCGACGACGGCGGCGTCGTCGTACTGGACGGTGGCGACGGGTTGCCGTTTGGGTTTGCGCCGTACAATTCTTGAATTCCGGTGACGTCGTCGACGGCCAGATCTACCTTCCTCGTCCTCGATGTGATTGTTGGGAACATAATGGATTCCTCAACGGAGGAATGGCCAAGCCCCAATAAATGCCCAATTTCATGAACCGCTACCGATTCCAAGTCAATCGCCGTAACGGGAGCCGATCTCAGGTCGCCGGTAACGACCCAGCTCTCATCGCCGTCCAAATGAAAATGCCCACTCGGCGGCGAAAACGCATGAGCCAAAGTCCCTAAAACTCCATCGAACGGCTCCCCATCGCCATGGTCGCCAGCGTAGAATCCAATCCGGATATCCGCCGCTCTGAACGACTCCACCGCCGTGAACGTCAACGGCGTAACAGCCGCCCAACGAGCAAAAGCCCTAGTGAAAACCCCTTTAACCTCATCAGTAAGACCATTCTCCGGCGCAAATGCGTAAGTCAAATCCCGACGGTGGTCAGGCCATCGAGGACGGCCAGGGAAGAAAGAGTAATGAGAAACAGAGTGAAAACGAGTAGCGTTATGAGCCACTGGGCTACCGGAGTTCATAGAAGAAGCGCCGTTGATTATATCGGCGATTCCACATCTGGGTAGCTGAATCTGAGCGAGGGTTTGGTCGTCGAGGAAGCCGGTGGCGTTGAGATTGAAATTCTTCTGATACGTTAAAAGGGCAGATTGGAGAACATTGTCGAAGAGATCGGAGAAATTGGAGGGGGAGTTGGGAATGTAGCCGAATTTATTAAGGTATGTCTTGAGATTGGAGAGGCCGGTGAGGTGATCGCCATGGCGGCAGCCTTTGAGGTTCTGGAATTGGTCCCAAGCGTATTTGGTTCGGTTGAGCCACGACGGAATTGAGGAGGCGTTGGGGAAGATATGGGCGGAGATTGGGTGGGGGTGAGCCAAAATGGAGAGTGAAAACAGAGCCAAAATCATTGCAAAGGATTTCATGTTTTTTTTAGTTCAGTTTTTGGTTGGACTTGGGGAGGGGTAGAGGGATATGAAGAGAGCGAAGGAGGGTTGTTTCTGAGTAAGTTCTTCAGGTAGAGGACAGACTGCAATTGCGCGTTGAAATTGTTTTATGGGCTTTCTAATTTGACTGCCTCCAATGTCTGCTTACTTGTCTCACTTTCCACGCCATCCTTCACACCCTATTTCTTTTCTCAATTTTACCATCAAAATTAAGAATATTTGACATTTTTAACCAACCCGTGAGTTCGAGTTCGAATTCAAAAACAATCCCAGATTAACCCGCTTACCCATCTCAATAAATCATAAATAATTGATATTTACCCATTAAGAATTAAAACATTAACTTAGTTAAAATTTGAACACATTTTTAACATTTATTTTGTTAAACATTACAAAAATAAAGTTTAGAATTTTAAAATATTCCGGACAAAATGAGTTTACAAAAGTATATTATTTAAGGAAAGAGAGTTGGTAAACATAAATTTCAAAATATTAGATAAAATATTCCCACGTTAAGACACGTCATTCATGTGGGGGCTGCATCCATAATCAAAATAAATAAATAAATAAATATTCAAAATTTACCCAAATTTAGTATATTTATTTTTATTTAATCAATAAGGTATTCTTATTTATCAAATTTAATTTATTTACTCGTACATGTAACTAAATTTTAATTAAAATAAAATCGTTGACATTAGTCAATACAATTTAAAAGGACGTAATGACTTAAATCTTAAATTTAGAGGTAAAATAGACCTTTAACCTTTAACATAAAATAAATAAATATAAAAAAAGTTAGATAAAATGGCAAGGAAGCATTCAATAACGACTTTATTATAAGATTGGAAAATTCCGAGCCATGATAGGTAACCAAATTCAAGAATGATTTCAAGAGAAAAGAAAAAAAAAAATAAAGAATTGAAAATACGAAAGACTTGAGGGACCTGAAAAGTAAAAACAAAAAATATAGTCAAAGTCAAAGAATGTATGACGTGGCGGAAGATGGGCGACCAATGATTCGAAGGCGAGACGCATGTTTGGTTTGGTTTGGTTAAGTTAGTTGGAACAAATAAGCGTTTTTTTTTTTTTTTAAAGAAAAATAGTTAATTATTAAATTGGTGTTTCTTCCAGATTTTCTGGTACCGTCCAAAGCCCGCTTCGACACGTCCGCCATCCACGTGTTGTATTATTATAGGTTCTGGGTTTTAGTTTCTGACACATGTCATGCGTTTGTGCTGATGCAAGCATTCCAGAACGGACACGTGTATGAAGCCAAAGTCAAACATATGGGTAAAGTCAAAGGCATGCGATTAATGGAAATTAAGGGCATATTTAGTCAACAATTTGAAAATTAAAATGAAAAAATGGATTTTAATTTAAGCGTAGTTCTCCAATAAATAACTAATAACTAATTTCTAAAATTATTATTTTGTAATATCCTGTAATTTATTATATATTATATTGTAGATTGAATTTATAAGTATTATAAATATTAATATTTTTTAACATTATTTTGTATTTAAAATTTTAAAATTCAAAATTTATATACATTGAAGCATTTAAGATTCTCACTATTTGGATTAAAAAAAAATTGAAAATGATTTTTAAAAATAAAATTACATTGCCTACAAAGTTAAAATTGGGGCTTTCCTCAATAAATAAAATAATTAAGCCCATGGATAAAATAATAAAAAAAACTTGTCCCACACAACCCTATAAGCTCACTTGAATTTCTTTCCCACAACTTGTCGGTGCGGCTCCTTAACTTTACTCTCTCTTTTTCACTTGCTCGATCTCTCTATCACGTGCTCAATCTATTACTTGTTTGGTCTACTCGAACAAACGATCTTTTAACCTTGTTCTTCAACTTCTCAATCGTTTTTGTGTTGAGTCTCTACTGTCTTTGGTCTCGGTTATCTCTCATCATAGTAGGACTTGAGTCTCAATAGTATATCAAAAGTTTTCTTGCCATTTTCAGTATGGGTTTGTGTTCGACGAGAATTTTCTCGTAATTTTTGGCGGAGTTCCAACACGTTATAGGTAAGTGAGTGACTAGTTTGGGTCCGATGAGGGTTTGTCTTCTATCTCGAATGTGTGCTCATCTACACCAACTTCTTCTCATCTTTGCCCCCTTCACATATTCCAACCGTTTTCCTACGTGGGATTGGTTGATTGTAGATAGTTCAGCTAGATTTTTTTTGTGTTTCGGTTCGGTTCGTTTCATGCAATTTTTTTAGTGTCTTAACCATAACCCATGAATTTTTGGATCTCTTCGTAAGATACCCACAATCTTTAGACGTTTGATAGATGCTCGTGGGTTTGTTGGTGCAATAACCCACTCTTTAAAATTTTAAATTACTAGTTAGGTAAAAAGATGGTAATTTATTTTCAATTTTGTAAAATGAGATATATAAAAAGTTTAAAAGTCTAACATAAATAAATGACATAAAAATACTAAAAAGTACAAAATTATATTCATAGAGTGACATCAAACCGTTTACAAAAATAACACAATTTTCAAGAAAGAGATATTAAATTAAGAAATGAGGAAAATAACTCGATCTAAAAGTTATTCCCGCAACTACAAGACCCACACGCTCTCATTGGATCTATGCTCCATTCGTAAATAAAGAATAGCATGAATGAGTATAAAAATACTCACCTATTTAACGTTCCTTAAGCTCACCCAGAGTTTTAGAGTTGGCCAATTGCATAGCTTGGGTTTATATGTAGCTTTCTCATGCTTTTAAAGTTCATATATCTTACTTACTACTATTCTACGAGTGTAAGTCAAGTCATCCATTAAGGTGTATTTGAGTTTCAAGGTACACTTATATAATGCTCGAGGTTAACAGGGACTCAAGTACGAAAATAAAGGAAAGTTTTGGATTTCCTTCCAGTTTGGATATGATCCATAAGGTCCACAGCTTGTCACATCCAACGGTGGATATTCTAAACTGAAGTCGACAAGGCCAGAGAAGATATTTTGGCAGAGGTTCTAGAAATCCAACCTTGAAATCATGAAGATTCTTGGTGTTTTAAGGTAGGGGAATCATTCCTCTATAAATTTATGAAATATCGGTAGACATTGGAGCAAGAATTGAACTAAACCAAGCTTTCAATTCAGAGTTATAGTCTTTTAGTTTTTGAGTTTCTTACTCTTGAATTTCTTCCTAATTCGAGAGTTGTGGTTCACCAATTTCCTTCAAACTTATTACTATACCTTCTAAATCAAATTGCCCACAACTTACGTGAAAAAAGTCGAGCACGAAAAGTTTCTCTAACCTAAACTCCAATACAACCACCATTAGAGAAGCTTTTGAAAGAATTTGGAGATCCAATTCGAGGATACACACAATTCATTGTGTAAGATGTTAGGAATCACGGATCTCCACAATGATATAATTTTGTCCACTTTGAGCATAAGCTCTCTATGACTTTGCTATGGGCTCTCCCAAAAGGTTTCATACCAATGGAGATGTATTTCTTACTTATAAACTCATGATCATTCCTTACTTACAAAGTGGGACTCCCTCCAAGAATCCTCAACAATCCTCCATTCGAACAAAGTACACTGTAGAGTCTCCTCTGAGGCCTATGGAGCCCTCGAACAGTCTCTGCTTAATTAAGGCTCGACTCATTCTCTGGAGTCTTCGAACAAAGTATACCCTTTGTTTGATACTTGAGTCACTTTTGACGACACCTTTAAGGCTCAAAACTTCTTTGTTCGATATTTGAGGATTCTATTAACATGGCTAAGTTAAGGGATGGTTCTAATTCCATGTTAAGAATCACGGATCTCCACAATGATATGATATTGTTCACTTTGACCATAAGCTCTCATTACTTTGCTTTGGTTTTGCTTTATTCAATTTCAAGAAGGCTTATCTTGCTGACAACAAAGCTTTGGAGATTGAAGGAAAGAGGATGTCGACATAAAAAATCTCGCAGGAAATCAGTGGACATTAAAGGATGTCAGATATATTCTTGGTCTCAGAACCTGATCTCTATTGGTCAGTTAGATAACACAGGTTATGCAACAGAGTTTGGAAAGAGTTCGTGGAAGATTGTGAAGGGTGCTACGGTGGTAGCACTTGGCACAAAATCTGGTACCTTATACACCACTGCAAGGTGTATGAACATGGTTCTTGTTGCTGAGATTGCTTCAAATTCAAGTCTATGGCACAATACACTTGGACATATGAGCGTCAAATGAATGAAGATACTGGCTGCGAAAGAAATTTTGGAAGGTTTGAAATCTGTTAATATGAGTCCATGTGAGAACTGCGTTATGAGCAAACAGAAACGAGTTAGCTTCACAAAGACTGCCAGAGAATTGAAGAAAGTGTAGTTGGAAATGGTTCATACAAATATTTGGGGACCATCTCCAGTTTCATCACTTGGCGGATCAAAGTTCTACGTCACCTTTATCGATGATTTCAGCAAGAAGGTGTGGATTTATCTCTTAAAACACAAGTCAAATGTGTTTGTTACCTTCAAGAAGTGGAAAGTTGAAGTTGAAAATCAGACCAGCCTGAAGATCAGATGTCTGAGGTCTGACAATGGAGAAGAGTACGACAAGTCAAAATTCAAAACATTTTGTGCAGTTGAGGTAATTCGATTAATGAGGGTAGTTCCTAATAAAGCAAGACAAAATAGTGTTGCTGAAAAAATGAACAGAACTTTGAATGAGTGGACAAAGAGTATGAGGATTCATTCTGGATTGCCAAAGAAATTCTGGGCCGATGCTATAAATACAACAACCTACTTGATCAATAGAGGGTCTTCAATACCCTTGGAGTTCAAGTTGCCAGAAGAAGTATGGACAGAAAAAGAACTCAAATACTCTCACTTGAGAACTTTTGTTTGCACTGCGTATGTTCGTGTTTATTCAGAGAAGAGTGACAAGTTTGACGCTGAGCCTGTGAAGTGCTACCTCATAGGCTATGATTCTGACATGTTCAAGTACAAGTCATGGGATGTCAAGAACAAGAGAATCCTAAAACATTGTGGCGTGACTTTTGATGAAAATGTCTTGTACAAAG